TGGACAACTCTCCTTCTTCTTTTGGTGCCTGCGGCCGCAAAACTGGCAATCATTTACCTGTTCATCGGGTGATCTCGGGATACGTCCCTCGGTTCGGGATACTGCTAACAACTCCGTATTCTTTTCGGCGCCCAGAAGTTCGACTTGCTGATCTGTTCTGGTCCCACTGAGGCAGATGTCGACACACTGTTCCAGTGACAAGTTCCTTTGTCGCAGAACCCGGCGTGTGAGTTCATCGTTCCTTATCCCAATAACGACGCGATCCCGTATCAGTGACTCCTTCATGCATTCACAGAAATTGCAACTTCGTGCCAGGAGCTTCAGTTCTGTGATGTATCTCTCGAACGACTCCCCCGGTAAACGGTCGCGTCCAAAAGCAGACATAGTTGGCAGGTATCGTTCACACGCGCTTCGCAGAACTCGCCAAATGTTTGCATCACTTCGGATAGATCCGCCTTCTGGTCGCCAAATTTCAGTGTTTCAAGAACCCTCCTTGCATCGTCACCAATAGCGTGCCTAAACGTTGCGAGTTGGTAGTTCATCGGCTGGGCGTCCAGCTGAGTCAGTGTTGCGAAATTCGCTTACTTGCTCTTCTAAATCCGCCAACTGTCTGGTAGAGAACTCTCAGTTATCTGCAAAGGGGAGGGAAACGGAATCGCCGATTGACTTCTAACTGCAAGCTGCATCTTTGGCGTCGGTTTCTTCTTCTACACTGTCACCATGTTAAGTAACACGGACACGATCAAAAAGTCACGATGGCCGCGGGCGGAAAACAAGCGTTTATTCAGTATAGCGTACCCTATTTAAAGGAAATAAACACTGTTAATCTTCGAGCCTTCTCAGTGGGTCTCCTGTTTTTCGGCTCACCTCATTGGTCGCGTTCCCCTTTTATTTCATTGAGTTATGTTATTCCTCTTCGGTCGCTGTCTTCAGGTCTCGCGCAATGATCACGTCTTTCGTGCTTGGCATCTGATTGGCCGTATTTCTTTGAATCATTCATATTTGGCTTTGCACTCTGAAACTTGCCGTTAATAGCGATTCTCGAGTTGCCAGTGCGCCCACTATGTTCTATTGTCCAATTCGGTTTGTCGGTTTCTGGATACGTGTGTCACTCGTGATTCGCTGTCCAGCCGTCGCTGTGTCTCCCGGTGGGTTCACGCGTTCTCTCGATCGAACAGATCCGCTGACTCCGGCAACCTGCGCTTAGGCGGTAAGGTCGAGCATACTGGACTGGTTTCCTAAACCCCGTTACACATCCCAGTCATGTATTTTGGCATCTAGTCTGCTTAATTTCTGGAGCTCGGGGACATCGTGAACAAGGATGGATTTTGCCTCTTGTTGTTTACGAAAGTAATCCGCATTTTGTTTGCGTTTCTGGCGTTTGCTCCAAGGAACATGTAGAAAACTACGAACTGTGTGTGTAGTAACATTAAGGCAAGTGACTGACAAAAACACTGATTCCGCATAATTCGCTGACTGGAGTGGCACGTAGAGTAACTGCGGTAAGGCTTAGTGTTCGGCTTTTGGGTGACTGACGATATCCATCAAATCTACTGGCTTAGATTGAACCCTATAGTTTGACACAGTGTATCTTACTCTCTCTTGTGGTCTGGTAGCTTATCTATTATGAAGTTCTCCGGATTTATTCACATATAACACTCAGAGAATTATGATATTTTTTCATGTTAATCTTTTTGGAGGGACAAGTGGCTGCTTTCATCCGTTGGACAACTGATGGGGCTTGAGGCCCGTGGTGGTATTGGTAGTATTAAGTAGTTTGGCAGCGGGCTGGGTTACGATGGGTGGTGCCTCTCTCACATAGGTACCAGAAACTGGCGGGTAAGTTGCCGGACCTTTAACAGTGTTTGATCTGGCGCGTGGCTCTGATGAAGAATGTGCGGCGGTAGCATCTTTATGAGCAGTCACAAATGTCGGGGGGATAACTCTAGATCCTTGCCCTTATCTTTGGCCTAGCTACACTACCCTGAATTAGAGCCTAGTGCTGCGCATCGGGTTCGAGGCACTGAGTTGACTGGTTCCTGTGGGACAGCTTTCGCGGTTGCCAATTACTCCACAATCTTCGTTAGCCTATCGCACTTTGAAGCCAAAACAGTTATGCATCCGGCTAGTAGAATAGACGCAAACTCAGTGTAGAAACAGAGGGAATTTTAGTTGGCGCGCGGGATATTATTCCGTAATCAATGAGACGGAAGAGACATGTCAACTACCAGACGGTATAAAAATTGGCGGCAACTGGACCCAACGTGTATCGTGCAGGATACGAAAGTATGCAGCGAATCAACAAGGGTGGAGAACGGTGAAGCACGGGCGTCACCAGAACAGCTTGTGAAAAGAGAAGTACCGTTAGTGAAACAAATGGACGCTTTGAAGTTTAAAACAACACCAAAATCCGCTGTTGGTAAATACTGACGGATTGTGCGTTCAGGTAAACTACAGAATCAGACGTACTACTAAGCTTATTTATCTGGCTGAGACTCAGGCAAAACTTTTACTGCAATTTGTGTATTATATTCCAAATCGCACAAACTCTACACAACTATATGCGCTCGCACTGTCGTTCATTTCGGAAGCGTTATGCCTAGCTTTCCGTGGTCAGGCGGTACGTGCCATTGCGATGGTCAGTTCTGCGGAGATCGTTCGTTGCAAGTCCTAACCTATTGGACTGAATCCAAACGTTGCCGGTCAGGCTGCTGGTCGGGCTGACATCTGTTAGATTCCTGTTCCACACAGGCTAGATTACTGTAGAACAATGTAAGAAGGCTGACACAGACGGCAGTTGGGCCAATCAATGAGACCATAGAATACCCGCCAAATTCGCACATATTGGAAAATAGAAAAAATGAAAAATATTAGTGCAAAATACATACAAAAACGCACACATAGCACAATAATCCCGAAGAAAAAGTAGAACCCCGCACGGTAAATCAAACATGCGCGGCGCGCGTGGTACATTCTCTGCAGTGCGGTTGAAGCGACTGGCTCTATTAATCGGCCAAGAGGTAGCGCTTGGTTTGGATGGTTGAGGTATTAGCCTGCCTAGATTTGCATCCGAAGGTGCCATCATAATACTCAGCATAAACGCGTTGATCTTCGTCAAGCTATCGCACTTCTACATGACCACACATATGCAGTATACAAATGGAGCGGTTTGGCATATTGGAAAAAAAACCAAAGTGTGTCATCAACCCTGTTTATCTGCTTCAACTCTTGGACAGCTTTTCTTATATATTTCGGATGGAATGAGGAAATGCCTTCCGAACGCGTTCCCCCGAGTTCACCGCAATTCGCTAAAGAGCACACACAACTTTTCTTTATGTCTGAAACAATGAAAATGCAGACCTGATCACATGAGCTTGTGAGAGTTGCGGTTTTAATTTTATACGGTTTAATTTCCGCAATTATTTTAGAGTACTTCGCATAAACTTATGCTGATTGGCCAGCCAACAGCGTCAGCCCTTGTACATTGATGACGCAATGTGATCGGTAATGCGGCAAAGCAATTGGAAAGCGGCATTATCCGCGTGCTCCGGTACTAGAGGTCAGCGTCATCGTGGTTTGGAGTAGCGGCAGCTTGATAGGTGGACGCCAGTGACTACTACATGGGTTGCAGTCACAGCACACAATTTTCGTTGATTATCAGCTATAGATGGATAGAAGACGCTTAAAGCCTGCTATCCAACAAGTGTATCTGATTGTGTCTCCACACAAAGGATCGATGTTGTAGCGTTATTAATTAGGTAAAGCGTCTCCCAGACCTTCAGCGTTGAGGTAAACAGTATGAAGAATAAAGTTTTGATTCCGGGTCCGTTGTGTAGCGCTGGTAAATCCAGGTTGAACGAGTCCAAGCGCATCAGAATGCGCTGAGATGGTGATGAGGAACTCAATAAAATGTCAGAGCAACGTAACTGAGCGACTGGCACATAAGGCACAATCCCTGGTCTTTCGCTGTTGTGTGTGACGAACCATTTGATGTCAGAACCCTATCAAAATCTATTTTTCTTCAGTAGCACTGTGTTCAGACCGGGCTTGATTTTGTATTATTCCAGTGATCGTGGACCAAGTTCAATCCTGCTGCATTAGCAGTGATTTCATGGATCGCTCAAAGCTTCCTCAATGTCCTTTCTTTTACTACGTGCACGCTTTGCAAAAAACTTTCTGATTTCTTTAGGACCACAGAACCTTGTAACTTTGTCATATTTTGACGTTTGAAAACACTTGGCTAGAAATACACGGACGATGCTCCTTAGATTCTAGATCATCTAGTTGCCCAAACTACGGTTTGTCAGTTGCAGTTATATGTGCAAACATATAATAAAAACAAGGAAAATCTAGAAAGCTTACGTATATAGTATATAAATAAGGCCTAATCAGAAACCATGGATTGAACTAAAAGTACTGCTTGAAATTCTCAACTGCAAGAAGCGGGAACCGCAATCACGGTGTAGATATTAGCTAGGATAGGCAGTGCAAGTGGTTCTAGTCATTTTGTACTTATTCAAACTAGAGAAGGTGGAGGCGGAATTGAATGTATTGCAAGCAAAACGTAAACTTTCCTTAATTCATTCAGGACACGTGCGTTAGCAAATATCCTATACAAGCTTGTGGTTAACTGTAACAAAGTATGGGATGTCATTACTTTACACTCTACACTCGTTCCTTTATATTACTACTGTGGCAAATTCTTCAACCACTCGCAGAATACTGGAAGTACGATGACATACGTGATTAAGATATGCAGCGTTATAAAGTTTATTATGGTTGCTAACTGTTTATCTCCTAGTTCAAGGTAAATACACAACAAAATATTGGTGGGTTACACTACAACTTATCTGATGATATCAAGCATATGCGTATTGTAACTAGCTTTGTAAATAGTTCGTTGCTATGGGTATTTAGCTGATTTACCTATATCTCCTATTCTAGTCATACAAAGCAAGATCCTAGAATAATAAATATTTTCGCGATTACTTCCTTTCCAGACAAGCGATGCGGCAAACCAAGAGTTGCTCAGCTTATTACTTAAAGAAAGGCACATGTATATTACTTCAGGGTCATTGTTGGATGAAACAGATGAAACTGATGGCGGTTTATTCCTGAGGTTTGTTTGCAATCATCAGGCAGAGCTGAAGGATATAGAGGATGCGGTGATGATAATAACCAAACTAGCATCTCAAGTGTTTCTCCAAAAGAAGGAATCAAACTGAAAGCACGTCTTCAGAGGCGCTTATATTGGCATTAAACTGATGAAATATTGCTATGACGTATAAGTCATTAAAACAACAGTGTTAAAGTCCTTGATTAATTTCCAAATATAAAACGTAGTGGTTTTGGCGAGTTTTTACAATGGGCATTTCGGAAAGCAATAAAACCTGTTGTGATGAGTGTACATTCAATACTCAATGGTTGATTACTGTTATTACCTTCAACCAGTTGACTTAGAATATGTGCCCGCGAAATTCGAACTCCAATTCGAGTGTGCGTTCTGTAGCCGGTCCGCGGACGTCCTAGTAACACGTTAACATCTCTAAGCGTCTATTGCAGTTCATCGTACAATTTGGACAGAAATGCTTGGAACGCCAAACCACAAATAGTACATTTACTAAGAGTCGAGACCAGCTTGGTTGGAGACTAATCTTATTTCGGTTCCGAACCTACCATACTTGATTTACGAGACGGATGGGCACAATGTTCATTTTAACTCGTCGACTCAGCAATGGTGAAAAGAACATGCTCAGACTCATGGAGAAGGTTTGGCTTTATACTTAGCAGTCATTAGACTTCACCAAGATTTATTTAGTCTCATATTTACCATTGTGACGAGCTTGAAGCTAAAAAGTACATTTACAAAGCTGCCAGTTATTTAGCTACAACTTCAGCAGCTATGGTTCGAAGGTGGAGTTTTGATCTGAGCGCGTACAACTACGCGAATGAGCAAGTAAGTGCAAAGTTCATTCCTCACGCCGACTATTTATCGCGAAAAACGACGGTATTTGAAGCCTATTTTGTGATGACTTGTTTACTCACCCAGCCGTTGCCAATCTCTCCTTCAACCCTTCTCAAGGAGACTAGAAGGTATTACGGGTCATTGGTTTCTGCTGTCAAAGGAGGATGGCCTATTTCGCTATAACGGAAGTTTGCACAGATTTCTGTGCGTCGTTAAGAGGTGTATGCTACACTTATGGATTACTGTGGTTGAATGACCGTGTCGTTATTTCGCCGACTTTGGGATCAGCGGTTCGTACAAATGTACATTCTCGCCATCTTGGTGTTGAAAAGGTGAAGTCTTAAAAACTCGATGACTGTGCTGGTATGCTGAAGTAAATGCAGGTATTCGGCGAACTGCTTCTGTTTGCCCGAACTGTAGACACACGATTCTACAGCATCCGTCCAAGTGGACACCATGACCGGTGACATACGAGTATTGCTATGGGGTACATATGCATTACCGTAGACAATTTCTGTAGAAGTACTACGCACTTATGGTGGTGGATTCTTTTGTAAAGTGGCCGGAAGTATTCCTGAATGTCAAATTAAATGCTGATTTTACTGGCTGTGCTTTAAGAGAAGTGGTTCGTAGAGAAGGAGTCCCGTTAGCTGTTGTGAGTGATAATGGTCCACATTTTTCAACCTGTTTTTACCAACTGGCTGAGAGTCTTGGGTGTATTCACCTTTTTACTGCTTCATGAGATCCATGCTCTAACGGTTTAGCTAAAATCTTTGTTTCACGTTTAAAACCTTTTGTTACCTCCTGTACTCTTATTTCTATTAATGAACTTGATCGCTGTGTTGAGAACTTCCTTCTTTAATACCGTAACTGTGTGCATTTCGCCACTGGAGAAACACCTGCCAAATTGTGAAACTCCAGACCATCGAGTTCGAACATGCTTGATTTGGGAACCGCCGAAGTATCTTATTTCAGGGGCAATGATTTAAGTCCTTCATCCAGAATCATTGTTGACAACCTGGAAATTCTTAGAAAAATATTTTGGATCTTGATGACTGCTACGTACATAAAGGGCATGTTGACAGACACGATATAAGGATTCCGGTCAACAGTCATAGGATTCTGAGTGCACTGAAAATACTAACGATAATTTAGTTTCAGATTCGCATGAGAGTTTTGGGCAAAGTTAACCTTCATAGTCAGCCAGGTTAGAACAGAAATCTCAACCGAATTACAAGAACTTGGCGCTGCATCAAACTGCGACGGACATGATGATTGTACATTCAATACTCAATGATTGTGTATTTTTATTATCTTAAACCAAACTACTTATATCATATCCCTGTGAAATTAGAATTCCAACTCGGGTGTGCTTCCCGTAGCCGGTCCGCGGGCGTCACGGTAACACCTTAACAGCTCTAAGGGTCTGTTATTGTCCGAAGTACTAGTGGAACACGGAAGAGTTGGGAACGCCGGACCGGAGGAATATTACACTTACTTCGAGGCGAAACTGGCCAGATTGAAGACTAAATCTATTTCGATTCTGAACCTTAGATACCTTGTAAATAAATGCTTCTGGAATATGAGTAGATACTTTACAAGCATGCTCATGCCCTAATATGAGAATGATGTAGAACTGGTCATGCCTGCAGTAGCAACATTTTATGAGGTGCATGGTTTTCATCAAAGAGGCGTAGTTGGTCTTAGAACAACATTTTAATCCTAGTGATATTTCTTGGCAAAACTACAAAGGAGTTTTTGATATTTTTCATGATCAAATTACGGCATTTATTTAGCTGTAGTCCACGGTTATTGGGCACCTTATACAAAGCATTTATGCATAAAATTCACCGTCCAGTATACGGCACTAATTGCTCATAGCATCTTCACCCATTTGAATGCAAAATAGTACGTCAGATGTATGTACTTAAGGGTACAAACAGTGTTTCTACATATCATTAACAGTCGGTATAAATACAAGCCATTTTTAGAATTCGTTGGACAAATAAGAAAAATGTGTCTAGGATATTCCACATCGAATGACTTTGAGATGATTCGGTCAAGGATATCGTACCGTCCCTTCAATATCAATGACGATAACCTCGCGGAAAACTACCAAAATGGAGGTGTGACTGAACACATTTGATTTTTAAGAAGGGGAGATATTGATTTGTTCCTTATTTCCATGGCAGTCTGACAAGTAACTCTTTATACGCCCATATTACTGGGTTTATTAAACCAATCGAACTAATCTAAGCAGACCAAATGGATCACGTATTTTAGTGGCAAAGGAAACTGAGGAGCGCGTTATCCGTCTGAATTCAGTAGTCAGTGATCAATATTGGTTTACTTGTTAGGGATACCGGCGGCCTACGTGAAAGCAGGGCTCAGGGAGGGTATGTCTTATCTCACGCGGGAGTAACTTTGGTACATGTTCCCGCACCCAGGAAGACCTTGCCCTGTCAGAACTGCCAATATAGCCGACTCCGCATTCACATGCGATTTGGCGCCCATTAATAAAGTCCCCTTCAGCTGAGGTGCCGGCAAATCTTTGGTTCGGTTGATAACGGTATCTTGGGAAAGATTTTAGGTTATACTTGCTGCGGAGATCCAGCGTGGCCAAAGCACTCTTGCTAGATGATTTGAGATATATTTACTTCTTGGCTGCTCGTACACCGAATCCATCTGCTTTCGTACTTGCTAATGCATTTCGTTAACTCTTCGTGGGTAACTGTTCAAAGTCAGCCTGGTTGTAACACGCTCCAGCTCATTGTTTAGGCCAGCTATCGAGCAAATTCGTCGAGCACGACTAAGTAAGATCTTCATAAGTTCTACTTGCGCCGCGATGGAGGAAAACGGTGGAACCATATTGCTTTCGTGCGACGAGGCGCCGTTTACCCTAATGAACCGCAAGTTGAATCATTACAAAGCCATCCAGAAGAGAACCTTATTCCTTCAAAGTAAAAACCGGGTATTGTAACTCCTCTTCACATGAACAGAAGTAGATTTGAGCCTGCCAATAACCAAACGTTAACCATTTTCCGTAGTTAACTTTAATCATCGAAGAAATCACGGCAGAATCACTTATCATATACCTGAAAAGTCAGCACTGTCGCGCTAAAGCAGCGAGTTTTGTCAACACCGTTCATGTACCAGGAACCTGCTGTTAACACGCAAAAACTGGATCGCAGTTGAAGAGGAGACGGGAACCTATGTCCTTTGCTTACACTTTTCAAGAGCTCTAGCTCACTTAAGTCACCGCATCTTGCTTACCGCAAGGTTCACTCCTTGGGTGTTACCTGTACTTAGAGTTTATCAACGGTCAACTGAAAAGTAGCACCTCCGAATTTCACTCTTCATTTACAACGTTAAGGTATGGCTGTGGAGGAAATGAATGGAAAAGCATGGGATCCTCTAGCACGAACTCGATGAGGCCTGAAGTTGCTCGGTGACAGACGCACTGCTAAGCAATATAGACACGTGTCGCGTTGTTCACATAAACCATCGACACGCCCACATCTAGAGCCTTGGGACGCGCGATCTGCAAACCAATAACTTGACCTCGGTGTGCTGGTACAGGATGATGTGGGTTGTTCCAGACGGTCAGCGAACACCTCACAAAACGATAAGCAGCATGTGGGTCTGGTGCGGAAGACACTCGGTTGTTTTGATCCACCCAGCTGCCGTATGATGCTCGATGCCTACGTGCGTCCTCACAGTGATTACGCTATGCATACTTGGCAAAAATAGGTGAAGCGTGCCTGCGCTGCGGTCGAGACCCCATAATGTTGGACGACAAAATTGTCAACGGTTTACGTAAACTTCCCAACCAAGATCGACTGAAAACGCTTGGTGTGTTTGCTAGACACTACCATCGGCTACGCGGAGACCTCATACAGGAACATCCCAGTTAAGTATACCGCTGCCTTCTGAAACTCCACCCGAAATCCAACCTCGTGAGCAAAGATTTAAAACTGAGTGAACTATGTAATCATCTAGAATCTCGACAAAATTTGTTTCCCTTTTGAGTTTCTAACCCTGAAACGCACTGCTATACTTAGCTATTAGTGCCCACATTTCAGCCACCAGAACAACCTGAGCTACCAATTTTCGCCTTTATTCGAAACCAATTCGGGCGTACAGCGTTGTACCAAGCTGGTCGTTTAGGAACTTTACCTGTCGACAATCATGCACAAACGAACATTTCTACTACGACGCGGCTTTTTGAATTACCGTGCTTGATTCCACTTTTGCTTCGGA